ATCCTCCTATGAGCATTTCTATGTTAAGGAACTGCTTAATGTCCCCTCAGGTCTTTTGTCACCTCTCTTATAGAAGATATCCCCTAGATAACCTTTGTAACTCCTTGTGATACTCGCTTTCTTGGTGCTTGCAAACTGAAGAATATGAAGCATAGATGTGTCCTGGAAAGAGATGAGAAAAAACAGTGTCTATATTGTTGGCAAATGTTCTCCCTGCTTATATTCACTTTGCATACAAATAAACAAAAATGTAATATTTTATTAGGAATCCAGTGGATAGAATAATGAACTGTAACTCAGCAGAGTTCGGTTCACAGCTCTGCCATTGGCTTATTGGGCGAGTCGTTTGTATCATCACCATACAGCCTGGAATAATGGCAATTTCCTTGTAACACAATACAAGCTTTGAAAAGAAAAAATATTATGCAGAAGGAATAATAATAAAATCCTTCTAATGATAATAAAATTTTATGTTTTATGTATATGTTTATGTTGTGCACAATGGAATGAACCATATTCTCTTCTGCCTTGTGCTTCATCAGTGGTGCTTCTAACTGGCTTCCATTTGAAGGGCTACATGTATTTATTTTAGATGTGCCTTCAGATAGAGGTGTGATTTTCCACTGAAAGTTATAGCATTTCATTGTAGTAACACTGGGCAATGTTTCCTACATCTTTATTTCTTTTGATAAGCCATAAAGAACTTACCACCGAGTTTAAATACCCACCATTTAGGGTGATGGTGGGGAGGGTTTTTTTATTTGTGAACTGAGTAAATACGTTCCACAGACTCTTGGGCTGTAAAGACTGTGTGTGATTCCCTGAAAGTAATTTGCATAAAGTGGTAATTTGTATCTGCATTTGCTCTTTAATTTTTCTCTGTCTCTATGGGTGATGAAACGTTTATTTTGTCATATTTTATGAAATGTAAATAATAGATACATTCAGGACTAGATCCTGAATACCTCAGCTGGTAGACACCAATGTACTTTGAGAGCAAGCAGGGTTGCATAGGCTGATGATTTACCCCCACCACCAGTTGTAAGTGCCAGTCTTGCAGTGCATTATACAAATGTTCATCATGGTTCAGCAGCAGCAAAGTGTCACCCAACAGTACACACTACCTTTTATCAACTATTACTTTTCTGTCATCATCATCATCAACTGCAGCTTAGGAGAATCTGTGCATTCTTTCTTTCCTTCTGAACGATTTCCATTCAAATAATTGACATGTGTTTATGGTAATTTGGTCTCTGCTATTTGTTACTGCAGCATTTCTCAAGGAAAAATGCAAAACTAATGCCCTAGAACAGAAACATTCAGCCAAATTACTTACCAGTAATCCAAGGAATCATGGATAAATCCAATACTCAAGTAACTTCTCATTCGGAACTTTATATAGTTTTCACCCAAGGGTTGAGATTTGTTGGGGTTTTTTGGCTTTCGTGGTTTTTTTTGTTTCTTGTTTTGGTTTGTTTTGGGTTTTTTTGTGGATGGAGGGGTTGTTTGCTTTTTGCAAGGTAATATTGGTGCTGCCTATCCTACAAGCACCTTTATATCTCTTCTGAAAACTTTATCTGCCAGCACCATCACTCCACCCTCAAGCTTTCACTACTAACACCAGCTAAAAGTATTTAAAGGGGCTGTTTCCACTTGTTTGGTGCATTTCATTTCATGTTTCTGCCTCTTTCTTTCTTCATTTTTCAAAACAGTCAGTGAGAGAGATCATTTAAGCCCAGTGTTTTGAAGTGGCAACCAGTAAACAGCCTTATAACATGATTAATGAGTACTCAGAAATAGTTTGTTGAAACTTTCAAGTGAGTTGGAGTCAACAGAATTTGTTTTAAAGTAAATTAAGATATTCCACTTATAAGTTGGGACATTCCCTGAGTCACTGCCTATGCTACATTTTCCACCAATTTTTACCACTGGCTGGTAGTACTCATGTCAAAGTGTTACACAATCACAGAAGTGACACTCAGAATCTGGACTTCTGACAAATTGAACAGAAAAGAGGATTTTGATTTCCATTTAAAAGCAGGAAATTATGATCAAGGTGTTTGATGAAAACCATAAAGTCTTAAAAAAATTGCTGTTCTAAAAATAAAAACTAATGTTTGATTCTACCAATGGACTTATCTTTCTTGATATCTTTTACTTCCATCAAGCTTGGCTTTGTGTGGAGTTTCTGGGCTGCTATTGTTTTTTCAGAGGAAAGATGCAGCTAAGACATCACAGATGTTGCTCTGCTGATTTAAGCAGGGTCATTGCATGGAAGGCTTTTGGGTCTGATAAGTGAACATATTTTGAATTTCTCTACTTTCATTTAGAAGTTTATTGAGTAAGTATATTCTCGTGGCTGAGAGAGCCAGCATCTCAGCAGAGATGACATAGCTCACAGGGGGAGGCATTGGCTCTCTTTTAACCTCTTGAAAGTGGAAGTAATCTGGGAAGCAATGAAGTGATGAAAGCACAGGTTGAATATTTTCATTGCTGCCTAAACTTTAGGGAAGTTCTATGACCACACTTTGTATAGTGCGCTCACAGTGCTTGCACAAGCAGCTTCCACACAATGAGAGACAGAGCTGGAATAAGTGTATTCATGGAGCTCCTGTGAAAGTGCTGATCGCACCGACAGGTCCTGCCTCAGTGAGGAAGAAGTAAACTCACCTTCCAAACACCATATTTTGGTTACTAAGGTTTTTCAGTACTTCTGGCACTCCAGGACTGCTGTGAATGAAAGAGGACTCGGTATTTTCAGTGCTTTGAGCTATGTACACTCCTTCCCCATCCCTATGCTGGGTTGGAAGGAAGGATTTATGTCTTGAAACCTTTTATAGGTGTCACACTGAACATTTCACTCTGGTGTTGCTTATGCGGAAGCAACTTCATTTAGTAAATTGAGCCTAAATAATCTAGTAGTAAATGATTCCAGCATGAAATGAGGTGTTGATCTAAATCCAGATTTTTGTAAAAAATACATAGTTACTTGTGCTCTCGGCACAGAGGTGAAGATTGGCAATGATCCCTGTAGGATGTGGATTTCTGAAATGGGCGAGGCTGGGTGGGACATCTATGCAATTCTGCTTGTTTGATGAAGGATGAGTAGAGTATTATGAGCTAAGATAGTATTATTTTTTTCTTTTTTTTGCACGAACAACAAACTATTTGGTCTAACTAAAATACCAATGTGGCTAATCCTGCCTTCTTAACTCTTCTCAAGGAGTGAATGCCTCAACAGTAAATTTTGAAGGAAGCTATTAAAGATGACAAAAATATCTTTATATGAAAGGAAGTTAGGGCAATCTGGCTGCAGAGTTCAGAACACTCAGAATTCCATGGTTATTGTAGTATAATACCACAGTCAATTATATTTCTTATTTTACATTTTTCTTTGTCTCTTTCTCACACGAGCCAAGACTGTGAATTCATAATGTTAATGAAATGTGTTGTGATGTTCCTGTAGGCTGCTGTGGGAAAATAATTACAGTATGAGGAAGGTGATTCATGATGTAGCCCTGAGTCTCTAAGGTAGGACTTTATGACTGATTGGGATAAAAGAAAAATGGACTGCAGTGTCTCAAAAAACCTTCAAAACCCCTGACAGATCAAACTACAGTCACTGCAAGGATTAGCTGTCTCAGCCCAATAGACATTTCGGCAAGAACTTTTAGTGATTTGTACTTGAAACCTTTTAGTCACCCAAAACCTTTTTTTTGTGGTGTGTTTCTGACAACTTCTCATCCTCTTCTTCAACTAAGCAGGTAACTAAAACCTGAGCCTTCTCATGAGAAAAAGAACTGGCTGACAGCATGCTCTCTCCACCACATGCATCCTGCTCAACACTTAGGATCAGAAGTAATATGATGCCAAGGCTGGTCTCAAAATCCAGACCTATGGCTGGCAAGTGTGTTGTTTTTTTTTCTCCTTCTCATCCAAACCTAGAACAAATGCAGAAACCTTTTAAGTTTCTCTGTTGTTATCACAGTTCTCTTTGTGTCTGCTGAAGAAAGAAATGTATAAAGCTATTTAAGAAATATGTGTAGACATGAAAGTGCTTTAAAAGTGTATAAATACAGCGCAAATATCTGTTGCTTCTTCTCCAGTCATATGCTACACTTTAAAAAGCCAGTATGTTTTCTTCCACAAAAAGATCTTTATATTTCTGAACTTTCAGAAGGCTTAATCAACATAAATAACAGTCTGAGCATGATGACATCATATTGAGTCCTAGAGTTGTGCATCTCAGCTGCTTAGTCATTTAAATTGGTGGAAATAAGCATAGCAGTTAGAAGTTTTCAAAGGTCAAAGGAGCTACTGTCTTTTCAGCTTTGAATCAGCTGAGAGACTCCAGTTTCTTGGAAATATAATGCCAAGGCTGCATCTCTGCATCTCTTTTCCTCCCTCCACCCCCTTTGAAGCACTATGGTAATTAGTTTAAAGGGCAAATCACACCACACTCAGTAGAAGAATCCTTTTACAGTGCAAGTTCCTTTTTATTTTCTCTTTCATTTGAAACTAAAGAGGAGTTTTAGCCCACATTGTGTACTGAGATATTTGACCGAATGTTCTTAACCAAATGCCAAAAAGCTGTTCACGGGTTTTCAATAAAATTAATACTTTTCAATACAAATATGAAAAGTTCTTTTACCATTCTCTCTGAAGAGAAATAAGGGGAAAAGTGTTCCTCAGAGAGCAATTTGTGAGAAAATTAAAATCAAAATGAAAGCAAGAGTCTTTTAAAAACTTAGTTTTAAATGTGATTTCTTGTCTTTATGAAAGTGGCAGCATGATTTCTGTAAGGAAGCCACCTCTCACCTAGGCTTGCCATGGAAAAACATTCCTTTTTTTTTAACTGTTAGATGCGCTGTTCAATCAAAAGCTGTGATAAGAATCTGTACCAAATTACCTATATAACAGGACTCTACAGTGTTTTAGCAACTGGTATTCCTTTAATGTCTTTATAAATGACTCTTTACATTGTTTCCATATATTTCTAGCTGCCATTCTGCTGCTGAAGTGAAACTGTACCGGCAGGTTGTGGAGCATTTCCATTTTGCGGCATACACAGTCTTTTCAGAGCTGGGAGCCACACACTGGTGCTCCAGGGACTTCTGGCTGCTCACACTGCTAGTAGTTTTGCTTTGGTTCATGAGACTTTACCTGCATTATTTGAGCCAATGGCTCTTTCTTCAGACCATCTCAGTTCCTGTTACAAAGTAAGTCCTGCTAACCTCTTTTCTCAGCCAGAATATTACTCCAAATAACTTGATTCAAAGCAGTTCCTTTGCGCTATGAAGAGAATCAATGACTAAGACTTGTGCTAAGGGCTCTACATGAAAGCCCGGATAGGAGCCTCTGCAGAGACTAAGAGCAAGGACTGCATCCAGATTCTAGATGATCTGATATGCAAATGTGACCCTAGGAGGTCACATTTACATATCAGGTGGAGGTGTTAGTAATGTAAACTTTAAACCCAGAACATAATGTGTCAATGCCTACCTCTCTTCTTTCTGAGATACCTAGCAGGTGATGTATCTTCCTGAAGAATCATTTATCATTTTGGATAAAGTATTTCAAAATGCACAAAACTGAAGAAGCATTCAAATCATATTTCATATTACTGAAGTGATCTATGAGTAAAATACTTCTAAGAATTTAACTTTGATATATCAGTTTTACAATGAGTACTATAATGAGTTGAAATATTTTAACTATATGATACATAGACTTTAGCTCAGGAATTAGAGCTCCCTAGAGAGTTGCAGGAAAATCATTGTTTGTCACCAGTTACATGAAAAAAAAGATGGAAAACAAGTCCACTAGTGATATATACCTGATTCTCTACATATTGCTGTGGGGTAGAGAATGGGTTTACAGAGTAAGAAACTTCAATCATGCTAAGGAAAGGGACGATTTCTCCAATAGAAACTTTTTTTTATTTGTTCACTTTAAAGCATCACGCAAACCTGAATCAGTCAGTAGGAGCCAGGAGCATGCAACTTTCCGACCTATATCTGCTGTGATAGTGGGATTGATTATTGGCTAAAATTTGTACTGAGTGGACTCTGGACAGTGCTGGGTATTGTTAAGGTGTTCTTCTAGATCTTAATGCAAAGCCAACCATTTCTCACTTCTGTCCTTGCACATCCCATGTGTGCTCAGCCAGCTGGTGTTAAAACTTCTGGGAGGCCAAGCATCGAGAGTCTGTGAAAACAAAGGAAACTCAACAGAAGGAAGCAATGCATGAGAGAGTGGTGGTCATGTTCAAAGCCGCTAGTCACAGCTGTCCCAGGCAGTCAGCTAGATAACGGATAATGTTCTCAAGCCAAAATGCCCTGGATCAGCATCCCAGTCTGTAGCTGTGTGCCTGAACAACATAAGACTGAGCTGAGCGCTCTCTGCTCCTAACAAATATAGTGGTAACACTCGCAAGTCAGAACCAAAGTGAGAATCAAACCACTTTACGTTTAGCTAGGAACAGAATTTAAACCACTTCAACTGGATTGAAATTTTTGCCTTAAATTACAGCATCTGTATGTAGCTCACAGCGCCATGCAGTTCATGTCTCTTACAGTGCCAGCAAACTTCTCATTGTATGAGCTTTGCAAATCTCGTGATCTCATGGTGGCAAGAGGAACATTTCCAACCACTTTAAGCATGCTAAAAGCTATGTCTTCCATATCAGATTTTCTACTTCATGCAATGCCCAAAGGTGCTGCAGTATGCAGAGACAGGTAAGCTTCTGGGGCCTGTGCTCATGATGGTGCTCCTGGGAGGCAGCATCTTTGTATAGCCTTTCCTGCACAGTCCCAAGGGCCTGGAGGTGCACCTAGTGAACTGAGAGTCAGAGGGGGTCAAAGGACACAGAGGCAGGAGGAGAAAATTTCTTTTTTTTTGAGTAGTTTCATATAGTTTTTGGTCGGAGGGTTGTGACGCAGATAGGGATGCAACTTTATGATGCAATATGCATGATTCTACTTTTTTTTTTTTTAATGGTCTGCTTAGGAACACAGACAAACACTCTCCTTTTGCTTTTTTACAGATTCCAGCTCTTTCCTCACACTGTTGAACTGTGTTACCAGAACTCATTGCTGCACACCAGTGAAGAGTTGGTCATGGTTGTGGTGGGACCCCTAACCTTGAATGCAGGGCTGCTTCTTATGGTCCTGATCAGATGGGGCTGTCAGCAGCTGTTTGACTCATTCCCTTCCTTCTTGTCAAAGTTTATCATAGCTGTGGGACTATGGACAGTGCTAGACCCCTTGGCAGTGTTAGTAGTGGATTCATTCCTGGGGGTGAGTCACTTAAAATAACTTGAACATGAGAATTTGACGTAGAAGTTTGTTTTATTCAATGAATCACTGAAAGATATGAAATTCCACCCCTGGCAATGGAACATGAAAGTTAAAAAGAAATTAAATAATAATGTTATACATTACCTTTTTATTAACAAAATTCCCATCTAATGGAGTCACTGTGTTTCTACATAAAATTAAGACCACTGTACAAGCCATATATGGAGATAAGAAAGTAAATTCACTGCTGGAGTGATTGCGTCTGCTTTGAAAAGGATTGCTGCAATTTTAGATGTTAATGGAGATGGGTTAATGAGCAATCCTGATTATTAACACTTCAAATTTTTCTAAGCACTGAAACAGACAAAATGAAAAAAATGGAGGTTATCGTGCACTTCTCTGACATGCAATGTAGTTAATATAATTTGCTGGCACTCCTAAAAAGACTTGTGAGATCAAAAGATAAACATCTTTAAGAAGAGAGCTTCATCATATATAAAATCAGGAGAGCAAAGCTCCCAACTCTATGTATGTGCTGTGTAGCCCAACAGTACTTTGGTGACTGCCAACTTTTATCACGTCCAAGGTAAATGCCTAGTCTCCCAGAAGATGCAGTTCAAATTTGTCTCTCACTGTGTATGTGATACAGGGTCCTTTTGATGATTTCTGAGAGCTTTTCTGGGGGTGTGGTATTGCTCGTCTTCTGCCCTTGTTGGTCTTTCAAACTCATCTATTTCTGTTGCTCACTCTAGATCAAGCAGTAATCCATAGGCCTTGTTGGGGATCAGGTTTTCTCAAATCTCTTGGTTCCTCATCTGCTAACTTGTACTCTGCAGGTGCTTTTTACTCTTTACATTGCAATGGTTTTGAAAATTAAAATTCAGCTCTTCAACAAATTTAATTGGAGCTCACTTGGGAGGTAATTGCAATAGTTTGAGCATGTGGCAACACACTCTAGTTTTCATTTGGACAGCCTGTATTTATTTATTTATTTTTAATTTTTGTGATATTAAACATGCACAGAATTGAATTTTAATTGTAATTATTGTGATTATGTTTTTCCTGAGAGAAAAAGAGGTATTCCTGCAATAACTGGGCTAGAAATATCGAAATGCTTAAAAGGCTTTTTTCTCCGTTCTAATGCTGATGTATTCATAAAAACTGGAAGAAAGGCTGAGGTCTGCCTTATCTTTCCCACACTTGCATTGAGAAAATTGTTGCCATTGACTTTAGTGGAATTGTGCTTAGTTCTACACAAACAGGATCATTACCAATTTCAAATAGCACTTGGTCAGGAGGAAACACAAGATACAAATAAAGTAACTTGTTTTTTCATTAAAATGTTAAAAAAGTACATACCTCTCTGTATTTCATACTGAAAACTTGGCAGTCTTACCACCAAGATTATCTTTAGTAGAAATTCATTTGTTCAAATATTACACAATATACTGTGTGTATCCTTTCCAAAATGAAACTGTATCTCTTACATGTGTTTTCTCCTGGCATTCTTTCAGCAGCTATTTCAGATTTACTTGCCAATCTATTTTAGATCAAAACTTTTTAAAATATTGTGTTATGGTAATATTAGTTATTTTAGTGCTAGAATGTATTTTAGTATCCTAAATGGCCTTATTACTTATGAAAGATGACAGATAGCCCTGGAGACAAAAGTTTTTGTGTTTACTAAGTAATGTTTTTTATTGCCAAGGAAAGGCTAGAGGGCAGTTGCATTAGTGGGGGGGATGGGTGTCAAGTAATAGTCCAAAATACTGTGTCAAATGTGTGATTTCAGGTTTGATTTATTGTCAGCTTGTAAAAGGATGTTCCAGGGATAAGAAACTCTTATGCTGTTCAAATTCCAGTTCTGCCAGAGCTTTCCTGGGACCCCACTCACTTCATTTGTCTATAGCTTCTAAAAAGCAGACAGTAACACCTCTTTGGCCACATGGATATGTGTCATCGTAAAAACCAGTAGACATTGCAAAAGGCTCACGTGACCATCCCTCAGTGATATGATAAGTACTTGAGAGAGATGTTGACAAATGTTATTTAAGTAATTTGAATTGAAGACACCTTTCTTGGATCATGTCTTTGGGGATCACAGAAGGTATACAGATTGACAGAATATCTTTGTTAGAAAAAAAGGGTAGAAAAGTACAGTTCTCCCATGCCATCTTTGCCTTGCCAGATAGAACTGCTTAGATAAGAGAGAAATTTATTCTTGTTTGCCATTCAGACTTTTGCCTCTCTGAAGGAATGTCAGGACATGACTGCTGTGCAGAGGGTTTTTCTTAATAGACAGTTTCTTGTGGTTTTTGGTTTGTTTGTTTTTTTTTTTTTCCCCCAGAATAGAAGTTATAACTGGGAGATAGAACAGAACAAGAGTATTTTAATATTTTTGTAACCAATATGGACAATTCTTAATTAGTGACTAGTCTTTATATGTCATTACGGTGTCCTGGGACCTTTAATTTCCATTACAGAAACCTAGCAGTGTTGAAAAAGATGAAGAGACAACAGAAATGTCCTCAAGAATCTCAGTCCTTCTATAGCTCGTCATTGGACTTGCAGTTGTTGGTCCTTTACCGCGCATGTCACTGCATGCATAAGAGGTAGCCAAAAATGGGAAGATAGATTTGACATTTCCTAAGAATTAATTCGGCCAAGTTGCTCAGAAAGGTGCAGGTTTCTTGAAGCCTAAAGGTCACAGACTCTCTCTCTGAATGATGAACTCTGGATGTTTTGGTGGCTCAGTTTCACATCCTTGCAAAATGTGTCAACATGATCTAATATGGGTATAACTGTCACTGTGTCACTTTAAAAAGGAAACGTGAAGAGAGGAATTTATTTTAGCTCTGAGCAGTAGAAGATCCATGGTATGTATTTAAATTCTTCTAAATTGGTCCAGCAGAGGGCAATGATATGTCAATACAGTAGCTAGTTCTTAAGAACTAGATATGGGGGGGGAAAGAAAAAAAGGAAAATAATAGGTTTCTGAAGAAGAATACAAATCATTCAATATTATGCCTACTTGGTCATAGAAATAAGGCAAATTTCAGCCTTCTTCCCTTTCCACTTTTCCTGACATACATTAGTAGAGTTCACTTTGAGTATTTTCACTGTTACACAGGTTTTGTTCAATAAGTCACCTCTATAGGGTAGATTTTAATTGTACTAAAATCAACCAGAAAATAGTTTATTTCACATATCGTGGTTAATTTCAAATTCTGTATAGCAGACTCCTAAGTTTCAGACTGTGTTCCTTGCAAATTACACTTAAATTCTTCTTATAAAGAAATTCAGGTTTTTTTGTCTCTATGGTCTAATCAGGTTTGATATTTTCTTACATTAATTTTTTTCTCCATGACAGCGATTTGGGAACAGTGTAGACAAACCGATTGCTGATGCTGCAAAACTCTCCTGGGTCTTTCTAAGAGCTGAGGAGTCAGGGGTTCCTGGTGCTTTAATCACTGTGATGCTTTATACAGTCCTGTTCATGATCTCATCGACAGTATTGTACCTGTATTTTTTAAGGTATGCCTCTTTATCTTTTTATTCCCTTAGGAGCTTAGGCTCATGCCCCTTCTCCTGTTAGATAAAATAAGGTGACATTGGAAAAGACTTATCAGTGTCACACATCCAGAGCCCAGAACTGCAGATAATCAAGGAGGGGTTAGCTTCTGCTTAACTTTTAATGCACTGGGATTTGCTGGGCACTGCAAGTCAGAGATGGAGCCATTTACTTCCTCACCAGGAGCACAGCTGGTATCATGGTTTTTCATAGAGTCTAGGAGCCTCTGCTTGTCTGGCTTCAGGCAATGGTGCTGTGTCAAGGGCTTAAGCTGCAAAGTGTGTGTACCTTTTATATAGGTATTTTGGAAGATGTTGTGTCTTATAAGCAGGGGTTTTGTGAGAAATAGGAAAAATTTCAGAAAGCTACGTATAATATGAAGTGCAAAAACCTCTGAGTTCGTAGCGGCTCTCAGAGCCTTACAGCGTTTTGATGATACAGTATTTTTCACTTGATGTGACTGAGTCATCATGACATGACTTAATTCAAATAAATTTTCCATGACTTCAGCCCATTTTAAATATCCAGTTCATCGTGAAATTTGACCAACTACCTTTCTTGCCACCGTCCTAGTAGACAGAAATTAACTGTGCAGTCAATAGGGACAGGTGTGGGATGCTGAAAATTAATTAGATAGGATGTCTAATATATTGAATGAAAAAATGTTTGTTTGGTTGGTTTTTTTTCTGAGTGGCTCATCTGTAATGTAGTATGAATTTTGTACTGGCCCTCTATTCATCCAGTGATGAATGTTGGCAAGCACCAATAAAAAGTCATATGCAAAGGCAAGATGCAGGCGGATGTAAGAATAGAAAAGCCCAGCATACGCCCTCCATATGACAGAATCATCCCTCAGTCACCCTTTCACAAATTCTGCAGCAGTCAGGAAAAGTTAAATGGCCATCTGAATTTCTGCAAAGTATTTCAAAGCTTCTGCATTCCTGGAAGCTGTACACAACTCCAATGTACTGGTAGTCTAGTTAATTAGCTTTTGAGATGTTAATGCCTTCTTAATCATTGACTTAATAGTTTTGAATAGCTTCATAAGTTTTAGCTGCTGTCGCTTATTACTCAGGAAAATTAATTTAAATTAAAACATTTGTAAGACAGGTTTTTATGAGAATATTACTAACATCTTCATTGTCTGGGGAACAGGTGCAAGATCATCAAAGGCACCTTTCCTTCTGGATCAATTTTCCCATAATGTTTTCCAATAAAGGGGTGGATGAATAATGTTACTAAGGGAAAAAAAAAGTTGTCTTAGCACAACACATTTTAAAAATGATTCATTGCAAAATACAAAAGCTAAGGGAAAATAACAAAATGTGTTACAGTGCATAAGGTCTTTGAAGTTCTCTACTTGATAACAAAAGGAGACATTTTGAATACTGGAGTCTGTACAGAGTAAAATTATACTATGAGCTTCCACAATTGGATCAACCTTCTCTTCCTTGTATGTCTACAGCCCAACACAGTGGGAACCTTGGACATAGCTGGGACTCTTGAGCAGCACACTGTCAGTCCAACAATGATAGCATTAAAACCTTTTAAAATGTTTTTAAGGAAAATATCTCTGTAATTCATAATACTGTTTCCTGAATGTTGATATAACAGCCTTTGTTTTTAAGAGAAAATAGTGCTAAAACTAAGGCAGTAGCACCCCTTTGTGTGAGTGTTTCTCAGATGTTATATCTAAAATATATTCAAATGTAATGTCACTCAGCTCAGAAAATATATTTTTAAACAGACATCCACCTTATTTTTCCCTTGTAAAGTAAACCAATATAGATATTGAGGGATATCTTCTGTCTTAAGACCCCAGTCCACAGAGAAGACTTTGGCTGTTGAATGGAGGAGTTGGTGCCATTTTTTAGAATTACTCAGCAGTTTGCCATTAAACTGAAGTGTATGACAGTGTGTAAAAAAAAGGGGTAAGAACACTGAATCCACAAGACCACCAAAGGAAGCAGGGGAAATGTCTGTTTCTGGCACAGCTAAAAAGCTTCATGGCAGCACTGATGAACAAGCAGGAAGCTAATGAAATCATGGGCAGGGGATAAGCAGCAGTAGACATCTATTCGCATCTTTATAAACGAAAATACCTCAAAAAGTCTGGCTCCCCTTGGGTGTCTTGGGAGTCTGTAGTACATCTAGCATGGAGAGATATTCTAATTACTTCTTGGAAAAATGAAGTGGCATTGGTTGCAATTCCTTCAATTTAATTCCTCTAGACATTTGAAACAGACAGGAATTTGTTGGTGAAATGTTTTCTGCACTGTGAGAAAATGCAGACCCCTCTCAACTAAAAGTGTCTGCTGAAAGTGTCTGAATTTCCTGGTATTGAAACATTATTCAGGGAAAAGCTTCAAAAACCTGCATTTTTCAGTGTTAACAGTAAAACTGTTTTTGTATTTTTTGACAGTGGTTTTCCAAAAAAGGATGAGAGAGGCTCAAGTGAAGATGTAATAAATTATTTTAAACCACTAAAATTACCCTTCAATTTTTGGTTTGTGTAATTCTTTGAGATGCCTGTTTTTTTGACTGATGCTGGATAGCAAATCATTTCAATGTTTTCTGTTCTTTCTGAGAGATAAATAAATGAACTTGTAGAGTATTATACTGATTCTCATATGTCTATAAAACATAATCTGAGTTTTGTTTTTTTATTATATTAGCAATAGAAATAACTGTTTTTATATTTATAACAACCCAAGTTAAGGTACAATAAGTTTTATTATTTTCATGTTGAAGAAAAGAAATTAGAGCAGGTAACAGGAGCAGGCTGAGTCCTTTGAACAAAACGAAATAAGTTAGAAGACAGCCTTCGTGATTCTTAATTAATTCAAAGTTAATTATATTGTTTATAACCATGTGCTTAAAATCTTCATATAGAAAATGTTTATGGCAGCAAATAGACAGTAATTTAACTGCATTAAATTTTACTTAATTTGAAATAAGAATGTTACATTAAGTGAGCTTAAATAAATGGCAAGGTCTTTCTCTTGTTTAGCAAGATAAGTGACAAGTCATTTAATTTGCTGACCTGGAATTTCAAATATGAACACCATGGAATAATATTGCTTCAACATGAGCAGAAGGTCAGAAAGCCCGACAGCTTGACTGCTAGTTTTTCAACTAAGTACAAGATAATTCTAAATTACTAGTCAATTCTTGCAAAAATGTATCTATTGTATCAAAAGATCATCTGATGTAGATCCAGAGATTAAGAGAAAAACTTTTCTTTGAAGACACTGTGAAGGATATTAATTATTTATAAAAAATAATTTCTGCTGTAGCATGGTTTAAGTTACTCTAGTATCCTGGTTTGCCTTAGCACTGATTTGCATTTCACACTTTAGAGCATTTTCTATTATTTCTTGTCGCCAGTTTGTTTTCATTCCCAGGACTATCTACCTCTACCTGCTCTCCCCTTTTCATAAGAGAATCCCAAAATGACATCTTGGAAACTACAGCAAATTTAGGGCTGCAGCTTCAAAAAAGAATATTTCAAATAAAAGAAGGATGGGGAAAAAAGTACAGAGAACACCTTTGCATCAAAGCATGAGATATAAATTCCTAATCTGATGTTGAGCCAGGCTGCCAGATTTCGGTACCAGAATAACTACTCTCTCACAGAAACTCTTGGATATAGAGTTTGACCCCAAGGTACACATTCCCCTTTGAAGAGAGTACTAAAGCTCCTCATAAGATCAAGATGAAAAACTGTTTCTTGGCGCATCTCCTTATTTCTGTTCCATACTAAATCTCAGTTGTGGGCAAAAGTGTACTAAGCAGTTTATTGAGTGTGTTTCTCTACACTTACTGTGAGCACTGTAAAATGTGATGTAGAACTGGTGTAAATGTGAAGTTCATTCTGATTTACTTGAACAACCCTCTGCCTCTCCCATCTGCACACATTGTTCAGCACATACAGGCCAATACAAGACCCAAGGATAAGGACCAGTCACAAGAACTGGCACAAGTGCTGCTATACGTGAGAAGAATGAGAGTACAGAAGGTCAAAGGAGTTATGCCTGTGCTCTGTCTCCAACCTGCCAAGAAATGAAGGACCTGTACAGCCCCACTGAAGTCCAGGCATTTTGTTGGTTGAGCCAAACAGCAATCCATGCACTTCACATGACTACCCAGCCAGTCTCTGAAAAGGACAAAAAGGTTGAAATTGGCACCAAGCAACAGCTGAATTGTAATAAAGTATTAGCTTGGAAGAGGGTACAAAAGGAAAGATTCCATCCAATATCCAAAACTGAGATTCCAGATTTTCTGATCTTTATTTTCTGAACCCCTGTTTTGGAATAAAAGTAGAATTAAAAAACGATGAATTGAAGAGGTTCGATTTGAATCCAACAGCAATTTTTTGAAGTTTTTAAGTTCATCTTAGGCTAAAAATGTGACACCAAACTTTTCCAAAAGCCTCGCAATATTTCTTGGTTTCACCTACATTAAGAAATACCACACAGCAAGCCTTTCTTGTGGTAGAAAGTTTTACTGTGTAGTGCTTAGTCAATTCCTTACCACAGCACAGAAATGTCATAGAAAAACAAAGCCAGCAAATGAAATGAACGTTTCTAACTTCAAGCAAAGTTTAGATTGTGTAGACTTCAGGCTTGGGTTTGAAAATAATGGTGAGTCGTTCCTTTCTATATGACATGGTTTGCCCATTATTGAACCCTGGCACACCAGACTTCCATTTATGCCTAACTATGGTACTGGAATAGTTACCCAGCCCAATGCTAAGGACAGACATCAGACTTTCTGAAGGAAAGTTAGATCAGGATCTTTTTGGGAAGTCAATATTTTTAAATAATTAAAATAAATTGCTGCTACATTGATGTGATTTGATTCAGGTACTGTAAATCCTACAGATGGCTGGGGAGGGCTGTATGTTGGAGAACTTGTTGGAAAGAAGCTTCTTATTCATGGGCGGAGAGCATAGTCATGAAGGTGAAATCAAGATTTAGAAGTCTACAAAAGGATAACTTTTGTAGGATACCTTTTTTTGTGTGTGTGTGAAGAGTCCTTTCAAAAATGAACCCACTCTGTCATTTCTATTCTTAGGCTACATAGCGAAGGTTGGCTGTTGGATGTATTTCGACGTATTCATGGTGAGGAAGGCACATTCTTTGTTCCACTGGATTTAGAGATTTCCAGTCAGGAGCTGAGCTACATTATGAAGAGGGCTGAGCAATGGAGAGGAATCAACGGAGAAAGACGGATGGTGAGTGCTGAATAGAGTCTGCAAAAGGAGTCTGTGATCCAAATAAATGCTTTGTATTTCTGGGTGTAACCGAAGAGGACATAGATATTAGAAAATTATTCTTAGGATGCTTTGTTGAAGGGAGAAGTTAAGAAGCATGTTCAGGAGAATTTTGTACTGTTGCATGTTCATTGCCTGAATATCATAAGCAGATAACAATCTGCTTAGTAACCAAAGGCTTAGAGGCATCAGTGGTGTCAAAAATGATCTGTGCCATCTACTAGTTCTTGACTGGGTCATAGAGACCTACTACTTGTTTAAATGTCAGTATCATCCCAGATAATTTCTCTGCCAGCTCAGCAGCTGGGGAGTTCCATGAACAAGTAGAATTCACTCTTTAAAAGGGCATAGGTGGGGCTGCCCTGAGGAGGGGGTGTGAGTTTGGTCAGTCAGAAATGATAGCTGTGCTCTGCTTTCTGGCCCTTTCCTTTCGGGATTGCCCAGAGGAGTGGGGTAAATTGGAAATGTGCAGGGGAAGGTGCGCTACTTTGGTTATCAAAAATAACTCCTCTTTCTTTTCCATTAAGCCTCTAGTGTCTAATCTCAAATACAGACCTAAGACTGTGATGTATAGGAGATTAATTTGTGTTTACAAAGTGGCCAGTGGTGGGGGTACCATCCACAGATGAGGCTTCTGAGTATAATTGCTTTCAGAGGATTGAAAATAGAAGAAATAACATGGTCAGCAGTCTGTGAGGCCCATTGTCTTCCTTCTGTGAGGGACGACTTCTTCCTTGCTTTCTAGCTTTGCATCAGTGTTGTAAGTTCCCATGGGACTATTTTATAAACCAGGTTTTGGTCAGTTGTTAAAGTGCTCATCAATTTGATTTATACATTTATGAATACCTCTGAATACAATGCTTTGTTTGGTAACTCTCCTGCTTCAATGTAAAAATGAACAGATTCCATATAGGAAGGAAATTAGTCCTCTTAAGTACATATGAGTTGTTTTGGTTTCTTTTCTAACCCAGTGGGACAAGGACTTCAGATAAGGGTCTGCAGGTTTTTCAAGTCTCTATAGCTACCTCTGAAAGATCAGCATTATATAAATATATAGCCTCAGTTGTCACTGTTATAAACATCTGCCACAGCTGTAATTATTTTCCACTTTTTTTCATGATGACAGTTTGTACCCTGAAAGGAAAAACTGAATGAAAAAGCAGATAGTAAGTTTAATTTTTGTGGAAAAGTGCAGAGCAGCACATGGTCTTTCAACAGAGGGGAGGGAAAAAGTTGGAAGGAGTGAATGTGTTTCCACAGCCACCTGCCTCAACCATTCCCCCTTTTTATGAAGATAGAACTTATTTTATTTATCCCAGTAAGTAAAATAACACTTTTTTTTTTTGCACATGAAATCTTTCTACAGTGAGTCAAAGCATAACCACTGATGATTGGTTTCTATTACCTTTGTTACAAGTAAGGTTAAACAAAGAATATATATAGTGGGCCTCATTTTATATGTCAGGAGGAGGTTTAGGTAAGATCTCAGAAAAAGGTTCTTCACCCAGAGGGTGGTTGGGCACTGGAACAGGCTTCTCAGAGAAGTGGTCACAGCACCAAGCCTGACAGAGTTCAAGAAGCATTTGAACTACTGATGCCATATGGAAAAAGGGGCAGATAAGGCAACTGCAAACAACTGTATTTCTGTTTTGAGTACTGAATAAATTTCTAATGTTATTACCAGTGCATCATTTCTTGCAGCAGTGCTGAAAGGGCTGAATAAGAGAAAAAAAAAAGAAAAAGAAAAAAAGAAGGGCAGGGGAAAGGAGAGGTTGAGGATAAAGACATACATAAAAGAACGGAAAGTAAACTTTCTGTTCTGTATACAAATAGTGTGTCTCTGAATGGAGGAAATACGGACTGTCCACTGCTACAGTAACACATACTTCAAGGGCCAGAACAATGAAAAATATGACCCACAGCTATAGACACATGTAAGTGCCTAGTTTTGCTCCCAGTGTGCAGCCTGGCATGCATGAAATGCCATACTAAAATGTGTCTACCTGACCTTAGTCTGAGATCCTTTAAAATGGACCAAGCCTCAGCTGAATCCAGCAGCATGGAGGGTGCAGTCAGAGCAGAGGGAAGAATCCCAGTGCTGTGTAGGCAGCAGTGCACATTTCATTCAACAAAGCAAAGTCATGCACAATTTTGTCTTTACTGAATCCCTAAGTTTCTGATTCTATTCTGTCTACATTTGTGTGGATTTCTTGTCTTTTCTTTTATATAATTCCTAATCAAATGCCAGGCTGGGGCAATGTTAAACATTTCTGTTCTCTATGGTACATGTTGGTGCAGTCTATATAATAAAAGAAGGTATGAACAATGTGGAAAGAGTGCAGAAATTTGCATCACTTGTATCAGCAGGATCTCTACCATCTACTTCAGTGGCACAGGATCTGCCTCACAAATGGGGGAAATTTGCGAGAGGGGCTGTGGTCCAAAACTCCAGAGTTATCTGTATGAAACACAAATAATGTGAAAAAAGAACCAGTGTTCTTCAGAAACCTGAAATCTTCCCCTTCTGCTCTTTTTTTTGGTTGTTGTTTATACTATTTTGATGGAAAAGAGAATCATCAAACGAAGTTTGGTAGCTCTTTAGTAAATCTAGTTTTGTAATGAAGGCTTTCTCCATTGTAGAAATGTGTTCTCCATTTGGAGCATCTCCCTGCAGGACTGGGAACTATATGTACAGGTCTTTTATGCTCCTAGGCATTGCAGATACTGAAAGACCCTTTTTTTTCAGCCATAGATTTGCATAAGGTATTTGTCTTGTCCCTCTCTTTTTGTATGTCTAATTGTACAAGGTAATCAGTATGGAAGACACATCACTAGCCCTTATTGCGTGCATTATTAATGTGCTAATTTTTAAATAAGATACGAAATTAACTGTGAATAATTTTTATAAAGGGAAGTATGAGACTGCCATATCTTACATCACTCCATATAAAAAATATATTTTAAATGGAGGTCATTCAAGTAAATAGTCAGTCAAACCTTCTGGAAAAAATAGGTCTACGTTTTTGCAATATTTTCTTGCTATTAACCACGTGCTTCCCATTTTTATTCCCTGGATTAAAAATTGCCCCATAAATGAGTATTTTATAATATGCTTAATTTCCTTTTATTAAATTGATAAATGCAGCAGCAGAGGACACATTTACAATATGATGAGAATTTAAGGTTATTGCATTTTATAATTTTTATATTGTTCATAGAAGTGATTTGTCATTTGTGGAATGACATCCATGCCATCATTTCAAAGTATTTTTAGTCATTCTTTTGATAGGAAAAAGGTCACTTTCTGTAGACCAGGAAGACATCAGTCTATTAAACTAATTTGCCTACATGCAAATTTTGTCATTTTTACCTCATTAACTATTTATCATAGAGTAAAAAAAAATATATATTCATGAAGGGGCAGCTAACAGCCTGATGGAGCTGGAACTAATATTTTGCAACTCTAATGATTTTTTGCATCCTTAATTAGATAGCATAAGGTTGATATGATTAGGTCAGGATGTAGTGTTTTTCATTAAAATACATTTTAGAAGCTGTATTCATAATCTGCCCTTGCAATTAAATAATGAGCCTATGAGTTTAATATTATCGACCCAATTATTATCCCATGGAAAAGTATACTGTTAATAAATTTGTGCCGTAGGACCTTCATTAGCAACAAAATGAATTGTATTTCCAGGTACACAGATTACGTGGCCACAATCACATTTACGTAGTGGTTTGGAAGGCACTGTGGGGAGAGAGTCACCAAAGCCCTGTACCATACAGAAATGGACTTGATTTTTTTGGAAGAAGTCATTTACAATGCCTTTAATGAGGAAAGCTGCAAAGAAGTAAAAATGCCACCTACAAAGGCAGACAGAAATGTTTATAGAAACAAACATTTGCAGAAACAGTGTTCTGTGCACCTCTGCTAGGAGGAAGCCTGGACCTCCATTCCTCAACCTATGGAGGCAGAGCTGAATATTTACTGATCTTTTATTAGAGATGGTCACATGTTAAATGTGTGCCAAATTCTAGAAGTGGCAGACAGGAATACATTAACTTGCCATTGATAGCAGATCAGTGATGAGGTTAGGACTCTGCATTTTAGCCAAGCCTTTTTCTTTTTTGTAGGAGTGATAAAAGTGACAATGTCTTGCTGTCCTCAGCAAGTAATCGGTTTTCCAAAGTTAAGTAACAGTTCAGAGACAAGGCATGAAGTGGGATTTTCTTTTTGCCTAAACAAATAAGAGTGTTCAAAAAAAATATTTCTAGTAAAACAGCAGGGATGGTCTTCTGAGGAGAATCTATTGTGGCTGGATTGGTTGTTAAGTGTGCAGAGCCCAGTGCATTACCTTGCTCATGTTTAAAACCTCTGAACTCTTTGTGTGGTGAATTGCTATTAGCAGGAATAAAAAGGAAAAAATCTAGCCTTTAGAGATTTTTACTGGATTTAGCCCTCCAGGTACCACCCCTACTTGCAGAGGTACTTTTTACATAATAATGCTAATCATGGGTAAAAGTTGTGCAAGTAGTAATCTAAACCAATGCAGTTAGTATACCAAGCATAGGCCCAAAATGGTGGCACATAAGGAGGGTTTCTGAAAAAAAAAAGCGAGTTCTGTAGGCAGGAAGATAATGTGAAACTTGCACTTGAAATAAAGCCTGATGCACTGCAAAATTATTTTAATGAGACTAGGGCTAATTTTCTAATTTTAAAATGATATTATAGCAAACCGTAAAAAATTACCCAGCAGTAGACTTTTGAAAGGAAAATATATTTGTAATTATCTTGAACACACAAGATTACTTCAGGGCCTATTATCGACACAATTTTTGGTACCACTTTACACTAATTTGCATTTATTACTCTCAGGCCAACTATTAATATGTTAATAAATAAGTCATTAATACTTGTTATTTAATTGCTATCTATTTATTCCTGTTCAATAATGCAT